GTTATGCTACCTAAAATGTCTTCATAAATTAAACATGTAAGCTACTAAGAGCTCTTTGATATATAAAACATCAACACACTGTGGCCGGAAAAATTCAAATATGAAATTAATATAGTTTTAGAACTGGTAAAAATCCTCATGGTACTGAAACAACATAACAATGTGTAATTAATGCTTTTTTCAACTTTTTCAGTCAAACACAAGTTACTGAATGAAATATAAAATTATATTAGTGAAACATAATGTCCTGTTATAGGCAGAAAATCAAACTAGCAGTCAAAAAAATAAAAAAAAATATAAAGCAGCAGAAAAGCAACATGTATTCTTAAATCTCAGAAGCCTGCTCACAGAGATAGCACTTACTTATTGTAAAGGCTTAACAAACCTTTTTGTCTTTAAGTCTTGGCAGCTAAGGCCTGTTAGAATGTCTTTAACAAACCTCCAGGTGTTGTGCTCTCTTCTGTTGTGGGGAAGTATACTTCCAACAGTTAAATGTTCTTTATTATTCAAAGTCATATTCTATTATTGTCAATGCAATAAATACAAAATAACATTCCTGGAGACAAAGCCTGGTTTTATGCTAGTGTTGTGTCACACAAGCAAATAACTGCTCTTGTGAGTTGCTGCACATACAAGCTGTTTCAATGCTATACTCCATTAAGAAGCACAAGCCTCATATGAGAGTCAAATGTCATTGAATCAATTGAATTATAGAAATTGCTTTGGAGTTTAGAAGGTGTTGTAAAATCAATTGCTGGTTTTCCCTAAAAGCTTTATATTTCTTAGCTTGAAATTCAGCATCTTTAATAATATCGAAAAGACACGAGAAATAGTGAGCACTACATATCCTTATTTTTAATATTCATTACTATTCAAAGATTTTACCCCTTCTAGTTATCACAAAATTAAGTTAACAACATTTCCTGGAATACAAATGAATTTCTAGCTGAACATTTAATTATGACTTTGATTTTAATATACGAATCTACATGAAACTTCAGTGAGAAGACAGCTCATTTCCAAACAGGGCTCACTTTTAAATTCTCTACCATACACTAACAGGCTCACTGTATGCAGTTTCCTTTGAAAAATGTGTTAAATCTTAAGGCTTAGAATGTTTATTTTCGAAGTGAAGATAAGTGATAATTACAAAAATTATTTTATGCATCCTACAGAGTGATTCCTGACCAATACTAGAAATTTTTTATTCTGTATTTACCAATAAAAATTAACTTTTCCATAATAAAGGTGGTATGCTAAAAACATTAAACAAAAGCATTTTATCAACCCTAACATAGTTTCATGGCAATGCAGGTAGGCAAATCTAAAGGCACTAAATCTGACAAGTGTTTATCTATTTTCTTTTTCAGCATAACATTTTTCAGGAACCTTTTAATCAAATTCATTGAGATTTGGATCACTTTCCATTCTAAGCTTTGTTATAAAGTAGGCATTTAATTTCATTCTCCTAAGACAAAAAGGCAACATGCACAAAAAAAAGCAAGTACACACACAAAAAAAAAAGCAAGTACACACACAAAAAAGCAATGTTATTCTTGGATAAAAATAATCTTCCCTGAAAAAGATATCATTTATGAATATAATTTTACGACCTGTTTAACATGTTTCTGCTGAGCACTTAGGTCATTTTAGGAAAACTATGTTTATTTGTCTATACATAAAGTACAAAATTAGTTATATGAAATAGAATCCTGACCACAATGACAAAATGGGCAGATTTTCATTAGATTTCAGCAAAACTTATTGTAGAGTTATGCAAGCAATTTATGTTTTCAATAAAATAAGAAATGATGAAGTCAAATTCAATTAATCTGCAAGCAGAAGAGCTTTATGTTCATGTACTTCCACAATAAATAAAACCAATCGTTCATTCATTTAATGCGTATTCTTTACCATGTTTACAGATGCTAAACTTTATCAGGCTGCTTTTATTAACTTCTCAACGTATTGGTGGACAAATAAGGTGTAGATAACTCATAAATCCAGAGAGTTTAGCGATAACAATCCTCTAATGCAACAATAATTAGTGTACATGTATATCTCACTGTGAAAGAAGTGTTACTCATAAATAACACAAGTTTACTTTAATATTTTCCCAGGAACACTAATCATGCTTTTATAATCCAATCTAATTGTCAAAACTACAAAAGCCTTTGTAACTCCCTTTCCCCAAACCCCAGGAATTACAGTTATTTTACTTACTGCACTGTAACTTTTTTGTAAGGTTTGTCATTATTGGAGGCTATATTTTTAAATGTGCATGAAATCTTGGTGTGAAATAACATGGACATAAGGAACCATGAGGCATTGCCAACAAAGACTGGAAAGCAACTTATGTATGCACATTTCCCATATTTCATACACATTATGCACATTAAAAAAAACCAGTCAGATATTGTTAGGTTCTGCATCCTACACGTTATTTAGTACTACATAGATCCACAGTAGTGACACACAAATATTTATGCTAGATGTTTTTATTTTAGCTGTACCTGTAAAACATCTGCAATGTAAAAAGTATGGTTTACTGCAATTACAGCAATGTGACTGCTATGTGAAGCCTAAAGCAAAAAGTATGATGTTTCAAAGTATGCATTTTACACTTCAAAATAATGTAATGTTAATTAACATATTGAAAAGCAAGTAATACTGATTTGATGCAATATCACATCAGTTGCAAAAAGTGGTAACAGTGCTTATGTATATTCTAGAAAAGGGACTCTGAATGCAGCCTCCATCTTCATATTTAGAAAAAAAAAGTGTATCTTCTAATAAAAAGCAGCGAACACCATTCAGTATTACTTGATATGAAAACAAAAATTAAAACTCAAAATGGTAAAATTAATGTTTTTCAAATATAGTTTTCAAGGATAATTTCCAATTTCCATTAAAAAGCAAACATTAATTCTGAAAAATGAACATTAATTCAAAACCAATGAACTTTGATCTGTAGATTATAAACATGTACAAGACACAGGAATCCTTGTAGTGCTTGCAGACATTTTTGTCTGTTCATCTTTCCACCTACCTGTAGAAAAGTGGGGGTCATTTGGAAGATCTTTGAGATCAGATTTACAACATAGATCTTACAAATCATGCATTCAATAAACCCCAATGTGACACACAAGACATTATAAGCAATAATAAAGCAAAAATGTTACATGATGTCTACGTAAATTTATTGGTAGGAAATTAGGCAAACCAGTTGAAACAGAAGCATGAAAGTCAGATTTCTTTAGTCATCATGGAAAAATATGAGTCAAAAGTTCAGCAGAACAAAATAAATATACCTTATGGTAAAACAGAAAAGGGAAAAGCAAGAACTTTTCAGTGCAGATAAACAAGCATGTGCTCAGGAATCAAAATATCTCTCAAAAAATCTTGCCTTAAAAAAACCCCACTATGTTTGCCACGAGAAAAAGTATATTTAATTTCCTGTTGGAAATTAACATGCTTCCTGCCATCTTAAAAACATAATTTTGATTCAACCTAATGTTTAAATTAATATTTCTGAACTGCTTAGTTTTCAGAAACTTGCAACAAAGATATAAATGCATAAATCCTTTGCTCTGGATTTGTGAATCTATTTATACTATAGCTTAACTGTTGGATTGACCTATCAGCCTCTGAGAATGTATATGCAATTCTTTTCTCTCCTTGAGGGACTGAACATATACCTTAAGGGAAATTGTTCTTACCCCTAAGCGATAGGATATTTAAGTAATTGCTCTTAAACAGTCTTGTTGATGTTACTGTAATCTGAATGTGTCATCATAATAATTATATTCATGTAATAGGTTGAAGTAACTATTCAGACAGAAAAAGAACAACACACTGTAAAAGATGTTAAAAAACCACCTGTATTTATTTGAACTCCACTTCGTATGAAGTGTCCCAAATATTAGTCTATACAGTTTGACTTTTTTTCTGGTTCAGTGAATACTTTCACAGGTCATAGCAATTGAAAAAGCAGGAACAGAGGAGACTTTCCCCTAGGGACCTTCTCCTCTTTCCTCTCTTCACCCCATTATCTTCCGCCCCAGACATGCTTACATGACTGTTAGGGATTGGTAAATGTTAGCGGTTTTTTTCATGACAGTTGTGTGCTCTCTGTGCATTTATAATTCAGTACTTGCTAAGGGGTAAAATAAGAATTGTTTGCAAGCATGACAAAGTAGACAAGGCAAAATGATGACCTAGATAAAGAGCAAGGGCACTGGTTGGTAAAGGAAACTACTGCTCTGTTCCTAGCTCTTCTACTATTTTGTTTCAAAAATGCTATTTTTCGTAAAGGTTTACACTTGGACCTATCACATCAGCCCTATCGCTGAAGGGAGAATTAGAAGTTGAAGAAATTTAAGTGTGATTCTGCTGCACAGATTCTGCCTTGTTTCAATGCACACCTGTCATTTCACAGGTGAACTTAAAAGGGACAGGCAGAAGTCCAGACTGCATGAAGCCATTTAACCATGACAAATATACCCATTATATACCCGTTATTTTTGCTCAGGATGTTTTTTCCCCCCAGAATATTTTTTTTTATTAAATGGTCTACTAGTTGACAAAATTCCATATTCTGCAAATATTTGAGGTCTGCCAGACATAACAGAATGAATGTGTTTCTCCATAATATAGTTTATTGCTTATATAGACTGTAAAAATAAGCAACATTCATTTAACAGATTTTAAATTAGGTAAGAAAATTTAATCTGTTTACAAGCTAATGCAATCCTACATATTATGACAACCAAAAACATAGAGATGTACAGGTTTACAAATAGAGTGACTTATATGTGGTTAGGGTGGATACACCATTACTAGCCTTCTCAGTATAGCGATATTAAAACATCTGCTGCAAAAAAGATGAAGTAACCTAAAGTTCACCAGCAGCATTACACTGTGAGCGATTACAGATTGCTTTTGTTATTAATTTTAAATGGGCTACCACACTTTGCACAGATTTTTAATTGTGTGCATACCATGCCCACAAAATTCCATGTGGGCCATAGGTCCTGGGAGCATTGCTGCATCTGAATTGTTTCAAAACAAAATGTTAGTTTATTTGGGGAATCAAGCTGTTCCAAGTCTGAAAAGAGCACAGGAAAATGCGTAACACTTAGCAGACTGCAGTAGGGCACCTACTGAGAAAGCTAACAATTGAACATTCTTTTTGACAAAGGAAATAACATAAACCTGTCTAATCGTTAATGTTCTACATATGCTAAACCATCCCCAAACGCTTGTATGCACTAGCACAAGTACAGCTGCAAATGCTAAAATGGTACCTAAAAGAAAGCAAGCCTTCTTTGGTATTTTACATTTTCGAATATGCATGCAATTTACACAGAGATTATTTTCTTTGGATATTTCTTCTGTATCTTTTTTTTCCTGAAGAGAGTGACTCAATTAGAACAAACTAATCTGAGGGTGGAGTACAATATGTTTGAATATACAGTGTGCAGATTAGACTGAAACACAGCTTAATGACACAATCAAAATTTTAGAGATAGATAACTTCTAAGGATAATCCTGTTAGAAAGATAGTAATTTCAGAAATAAATAAGCATGTGACATATCAATTATACCTTTAATATGTTAAAGGTACATTAATCATGTTACTGCATTAATACTGAATAAATCCTAATATTTACCATTCTATACTCAGTTCTTACAATCTTTTTAAAAAATTATCATTAATAAATGCAAAGTCTTATTTTAAAGTGGTGTCATCCTAAGTACCGTTTTCCTCTTAATCACCTTTAACAGTTGCTAGAACAAAGAAATTATTTCATTATCTTCCATATGTGAATACCCTGGTGTGTTACCACTAATGTTGTTTGGACAGATCCTTGGGCAACATGGTTTAGTGTGAGGTGTCATTGCCCATGGCGGGAGGGTTGGAGCTAGATGATCTTAAGGTCCTTTCCAACACTAACTACTCTATGATTCTGTTTTCAGCTTTCAGGCATTTATTTCAGGTCTGAAAGTCCGGACTGACCACATATTCAGGAATCATTACCTTTCAAAGGTGTCAGTTCCTCAGTGAACCCACTCGAAAACAGGTTTTTTAAAGACCACAAGAAAGACACTTAACTGCCAGAGACATATCATAAGAACTAGAGTGACAACATAGACTAGAAAATGTCACCTGTCATTGAAGGCCTGGTTGAATGGTAAATTAGCTTTAAAAAGATAATTAAAACAGGCTTTGCCAAAATGAATGCCTTGCCTAACCCCTTGGGCTATGCTTTTTTATTATGGCTTATTCACAAGTAGTGTATCTTTTCGATGTCATGCCTTTCAAGTAGAAAGAAATTAAAAAACTTGGCAGTGGTATAAAAATGTAAATGCATTCCATAAGACAAACACAATGGGAAGTATAATTTTTTGATAAAGGCAATGCTCAGGGCAGCCAGAATAAGACAACAGCACATGCAAAATTCCCCTGTGTTCTACAAACAAATATTCTGCATCTGTAGCTCTTAGCTCTGTCAGACATCACCACTGGCAGGAAAATTAAAAGCTCTTGCTTAAGTGCCAAGCTTTGCGTTAAGGCTTGCTACTGGAGAGAGTGCGGGATTCTGGAAGAGGAGAGGGGGATTTGCAGTTGCAGTGCAAATCTTAGCCACTGCAGCAACTGCACCAACTTCTCACTCTTGACACCCCTGTACAGGGGAGCTGTTGGAACAGATTCCTGAGGATGGCTGAGCTGGTCTAGCAGAAGCTGAGCCAAACATCGTCCCTATTGCATGCATGCTATACAGCAGAGAGTGCAACACAGGGGCAACTGTGCAAGGACAGTTCGGTTTAAGTTACCATGGGCCCCAGAGTAGAGTAGAAAAATTTCCTCTGCTTTGAGAGGGAATTTTGACAATTCAGCAGACTGTGAAACAAATATCTATTAATGGCTAATATCTATTTATGATTTTATCATTTCGGTATATAGAAATATCTAAAAATAAGTCTTACATGGAAGACCAACTGAATCCTACTTTCAGTCTTAGCAACCACTTTTATAATCTTGTTTCACTTTTGGCTCCCATGAGAAAAAACCCCCATGACCTCTTCTCTCAAAAGACAGAAATACGGTTTGGAAATAACTAAAAACCCATGTCAGTTTAGAAAGGGGCAAGCCCCTGTCACTACATCTGCACTGCACTGCAGATGTAGTTTTGGTTTGTTTTCTTTTTCTTCCCCTTGTATAAGGCAGCAGAAACAGGATCTGTCATAAGTATTGCTATATCAATTGTTTACACTGCAAGCATTAAATGTGCTTTTTCTTAGCTACATTTGAAGGAGAAAAAGATCATGAACAAATTATGGAAGAGTATAATAAATGATTTTGGTAGAAATTATGAAAATAATATATGAAAACTATTCTAGAATTTATCATCTTTTACAGTAATACCTACAATGTCATTTGGAGAAAAAAAAAGGTAAATACATGTATATTACATAATACATGTGTGTGTACCTTAAGATGAAATTAATGTTAAGGTGCGTATAACAAGGTAACTGTTCCTAGTATGTTTAAAAGGAATAAATTTCACCAAGTGACAGAAAGACAAAAATGTTTGGTGTACATGTCTATCATTAGAAATTTTTTGCTAACCTTATTCAGCTATGGACAACCTCACACTTTTTGTAGCTGCTGCCAAGTCAAGTTTGTGTATTAATTTTCACTACATCAGAAATTGACTGTTTTCTGTTACCCCAGGTTGGTAACAGGTAGCCTTGGGGATTCTCAGCTCTGAGATATATTCTTCAGTGTGTGATGCCTTTGGTCTAATGCAAGTGGTTTGCATTGTACTAGTGGTGTGCACCTTTGCAAATAAGAAAAATCCCAGAAATATCCATCAGTCATTCTACTCTGAAAAGCCATAGAATAGTTACCTTTTTATTAAAAACTACAGTAACAATATAGTTGTAAAAGAAAACTGTGTAGGATAAAGATAAGACTGTTAGTTCCTCTTTGAAGTAAGTTCAGAAAAGACTAACACTATTATACAAACTAGATCACACCTTGTTACATTTCACCTCTGTTTAGGTATTTTCAGCAGATACTTTCCTCAGCTGTAAAAGTTATAGATGTCTAGTACAAAGGATGGTTGTGTCAGACAATAGTATTTTGTGAAATGACTAGAAACCATTGGTTGATTTAAAGGTGAGATGGAAGCTTGCTGTTCCTAAGATATGGGCGTGGTGAAGGTATCCTTCTGTACTGAAGAAAAACAATTCCTATTATTAAGGGATGCTGTATTAGGGAAGAGTAATCTCATGTCCTACTTTAAGTAGGGCGTCTTAATGATGCCCTAAATATTGTTAGCTGTCATGAGACTTGTGTTACAACTTAATAGAAACACGTAAGTTATAATAAGACAGTAGCACAAAAACAGCGAAAGATGGTAGCTGAGACATAAGAAGCAGTAACTTGATGCAGCCATAAATGAATAAGCTGTGCAGATTGCTCCAGCTACCAATGAGACCTTGTGTGCCGGAGTGATTATATCCATGTAAATCTGAGCAGTGAAAAAGGGAGCTGAGTTGGAGGTGATTACCTGGCCCCTCTCAGCAAGTTATGAGACTAATCACCCACCAACATATTTGAAAAACACATTCCAAATGCATAAGTAGATCTGCCAATCTCACATTGTTAATGAGGAATCAAATTGAGCAAAAGGCTTACCAGTAATAATAGCAAAAAGGGAATTTGGATTTTCTATCTAAGAACAATGCACTCAATTCATATCAGTGATAGGGACAGTACTGAGAAATCCACTCACTTAACCTCCTATTTTCTTACTTAACCTTCTATTTTCAGTTACTTTCTGTTGAAGCCTCCACTAGTTTCAGAATGAGGATTCCTAGCTTTGCAAAGCCTATCTTATAAGTAGAAGTGTCTAGTTTGGACAATAGAAGCATAATTGAATTTATTAACATTTTCAGGCTTTCAGTAGAGATTGAAGATTCAGTAGAGATATGTCTGAATACTTGGTATCACCCTAGATATTTCTTTTATATTAGTTCCTCCTAACATACTGAAATCTGCTAATTCTCACATCCACTCCTTTGTCTGCATCTATCACCTTAATTTAATCCTTGCTAAAATTCTTCTTAAAACTAGATAAATTCTGTTAAACTGAAAATACAGTTATGAAGAAAACAAAAAGATCTCCAGTTGCAAGCCCTTCTCCATTTGCTAAAAACTAAATGTTGATTAAAACAACTTCTTTTCAGGTTAAAAAGAATTTTCCTTGATAGCTTTTCATGCAAGAAATATGCTTTATCCATGTAACATAATAATGATGGATAATTTAAATACATTCCATATTAGGTATTAAAAGCATAAAAAGCACAGTTAATTCTATAGTCAAAGCTTTACTTGCAAATGTACAGAAGAAAAAAAAGGATAAATTAATGTTAAAAAAAAAACCAAACAAACTAAATCCCCTACCTTTGGTGGGCACATTTGTAATCACAAAAGTATTCCTCCGGAGCATTTAAAATCTCCAAAATAATGCAGAAGCTAAGAGCTGACAATCTGAAAGTAACCGGGTATTCTGGAATGTTCTCCTAGATTTAACTGTAACCGACCAAAGGACTGTCTATGACTGACAGTTAAAAGAAAGTTTTTTCTACAGTGGAATGAAGTGAAGCAATATGAATTTTAGAAATAGCCTGCTTTGACATCAGCGCTATTAATATTATTGGATACTTTTAAAAGAAAGCATTTCATAAGTGCTGCCCCTCTCCAACAAGAAGTGACATTCAGTTACATCATTGAAAAAAAAAAAACCAAAACAAAACACTCAGATTCAAATTTCATTAAAATGCTTCAGAAATCATAAAAGAAGAAGTTTCATATATGCCTGGAATAAACATTTGACTTAACACTGTTTGCAGGCATGTGGCCTGGCATGCTAAAGACACATTTAATTCAAAAAGAAATTATGATAAAAGTTTATACAAACTGACAATGAACTTAACCATAGTACAAACATACCCGTGTGTGCTGCATCAACAGTTTGTGGTGTCTCTGCTGACAATTTCAGAAGGGCCTGTTCACCATCTGTCTTCTCTGGTGAGCTGTTATGCCGAGACTGCTGTTGGTCTTCAACTTCAGCAACAAATGAAATTACACCTAAAACAAATAGATAGCAGGTGTTATATTAGCCAGAGCATTAGCTTCATAAAAGAAACTGCCAGATATGTATGAGTATTTCCTCACTTCAAAACTAATAAAAAATTAAATAAAACTTCCACTCCAGGTGTCAGCCATGCCATTATAATTTATTGTAATAAAAAAATACATCTTGAGTGAGTCCAAGGAAATTAACCATTTTTTCTCCCAAAAGTCTTGTGTAACTACAATAAAAAAATAAAACCATTATGGTACTACTACAGCTCATGGGAATGAAGTCTGAGGAAAATGTTCAAGTTACATAAATATTGATGTAAGACAACATGTTTAATGGCACCAATAGCTAATGGATTTTAGGATTACTAAATAATCTTATTTTCTGTCTCAATATATAATCCTATAATCTTGGTCTATTACAGCACAATATTAGAGAGAAGCAAAGTGCAAGTGGAAGACTTCATTAATTTTAAACACTATCCTAACTATACTTGAAAGACGGCAACAATTATAAGAAAAATTTTGTTATGCTTCTTTTTCAATTTAAGTAATTTTTCCTTATAGTTCTTGCTTCCAGTGACAATTTCAAAATATTGAACTGTGCAGATGTGCATGTGAGAGAAAGGAACAGGACATGAGTGTTCACAGTTTTAAAGTTTTTATTTCATCACTCAGTAGGAGGATGGTAAAACAAACATAACTTTTTTTAGCTCTGCACGAAATATGCTCTCAAAAACATCAAAGAAACTGGCTGAAGAACTCTGAATAATTAATTTCTATGTGCAGCAAATCTCGGAATGTTTGAAAAGTTCTAGAACTGTAAATTGCTAATGCTCAAGAATATTTCAAGAGCTAGTGGAAGAAACATGGTAACTAAAATACTACTTGAATTGCTAAACCACTTTGCTGATAATCCAACAATCACACCATCAAGAAATCAATAAGGAACTGCACTATAATTGCTGACATAATTTCCTTCTTTGTGGAAAACAGATCTCAAACAAACAGAATTAATAACGAGGTTAAAATCTTGATCAATAAAAGTAACTGGATTGATGTAATGTATTCAAACATCCACAGGGCACTCAATTAAATCTGTCATAGTTCAATAAAAAATAATGATATTACTACAGATGGCATACATTTTTAAACTCAGTTTATCTGCTCAATCTTAAAGTATTCATAACGTGTCTTTCATAATTTTCATGGGCACCAAAGTATCTACTTCTGGCTCAAAGACATTTAAAATTTTTATTACGGGAAAAGAAAGAAAATTGTTGCTGGCAAGAATAATAAAAAATAACAAAAATTTAAAAAAGCCTGTATTAATATAGGAAGTATTCCTAAGTAGACTGCTCTGCTGGTTCAGGAATGAATGGTGCAACCCAATGACCACTATCAGAGATTAAGATAGCTGATGACACATAAATATATTTATTCAAATTAGAGACTACGAAAAATTCCAAAAAAAAAGTTGCCTAGCAGGATGGGAAAAAGACTTTTATACAGTGAAGAGTAATAAAGAGTCCTATTACCTTAGTTTAATTACCTTATGAGGCAATTGAAATTAATTACCTTATGAAGCAACTAAAAATATTGGAAAGATGCAAAACCACTGCATCAAAAAAGACAGCTCCTATGTTATAAAAGGGCTTTGAAGCAGGAAGTTTTAGGTTTTCTGCTGTGAACGCACTGTCATCCTATAGAACCTACTGTTGCTTACACTGTTGTCAGCAATGGCAGCAGCATCTTATGTTACCTTATTGATACTGCAAAGCAACTGATAAATGATAATTTGTTCATGCACAACAGACTCCAATATTCAGGGAGCTTTTTCTCACATCTAGTTGCTCTGTTCTTACTTGTGTGTCATACATTAAATAACGTAACTCATTACATTTAAAGCAACATTAAAGCTGACGACATTTAAAGCATTCATTCAAAACAAAACCAGGCTTCTTGTACATCACAAAGATACAGTTTCCACTGATTCAATTGGCCACAGAATCGTCACTAATAAGTACGTTAGAAAACACCACTCCTCAACTGTCTTTTGGCATCTACATAAAACATTAAACTTGCCAAAGCAACAATGCAAGTATTGCTAGAATTACACTGAAAATTAGTAATTAAAAATTACATAACTGTGCAGGTTTTCTTTTTGCTGATACACCATTACTTTAAATGTTTCTTGGTCAAAACCAAATTTTGTATCTTTACTGTCCACTCTTCAAACATTTTACACAAATTCAGTCCACATATGTTGCTGC